TTCTATCAATTGGGCAATAATTAATCGACGTGAGAGATTTTAATATTTCTACGTTTCTTAACAAAGTTATATAATAAAAGGCTCGAAGCAACGTGTCTCACAAATCGCTTACAAAACCGCGTTTTTCGTTAGAATTGCTCTATGGTATCCATCATGTACTAAGATTATTATTATGCAATAAAATTGAAAAAGACTCGCTCATCCTCCTATTCTTTCGTAGATATGGAAAATTATCGGAATGTGCATCCTATACCGCACGAGAAAAAGAAAACATGTGTATGTACACGCAACTTGTACTGCACGCTCGCTATGGTTGCTTACGCGCATTTAAGAAAAAAAAAGAAAAGATAATATCGTTCAAGTAGTTGTGGAGTGAAAGTTTCGAACGTAACGAGTGCGCCCGTTGCCGATACCTGTTTTACGTTCCAGATAATTAACATCGTTTCGCATATGAAACATTTTGCGCCCCGGAGGGGATTTATACGACACGTTTGCTATTACTCGCCCCGAGAAAAAAACTATATGTGATACACGTAATATGTATGGGGAATATTATATCCTACGTCTTAATATAAAATTTGGAGTGAACCGCGCTTTCTACGATTCTGCTTCGAAAGTCGAAATTTTTAAGCGAGATGAGAAAAGGTTTTAAGAGCGAGAGAAGAGAAAAAGGCTTGCCTTTTTTCGGTCATTAATGTACAATACTTTCTGCGCTAAGCGGCTAGAAAGTGATCGGTCATCCGTGACGAAACACTATTAAATTACATCTTCTTCAATGAACATCGCATTGTACTTTCGCTCGAAAACTCTTCCTCATTTTATGGAGCGTACGATACCAAATTCGATGCACGCTCCTTCCATATCACGCTCTTTACGCGACGCTAAATCCGCATAAAAAAAAAGGTAATTAGTCTCTATCATTAATATCCTGATCGTAAGACTAGGCAATCCGTAAACTTCGAGCGCGAAGAGAAAGGAATTTATCTTAACGAATCTCTTTGCGAGGCGTATCGAAGGAGGCATTGCGTTAAAGTTATGGAATGAATGAGTCGCAGATTAAGTCAATCATAAATTAATCAATGTTTCAATATAGACATAGAAAGAGAGAAAGTATAGATTGAAGAATGAGTTTCAATATCTGATAAGAGATACCTGAAATTATTGAGATTTATTCTCTCTTCAAATCGCTCGATGCTCGCACGCATCTCTCTCGAATGAATGATATTTCGATAAGGATTGTAAAAAAAGTACCGTTTATATTGTTTCATTACCGAATGTCACCGTATTCATACCTCTTGAAATTCGTATGTAACCTATACGTATAAAATTTTGTGATATAACTTCGTAACACGCTGCGCGCTGAGAGCAGCGTGTTTATCGACGTCTTGTTTTACGAGACGTCGTTAAAAACGCTGTCGAAATCCATTTCCTGGTCACAAACAAGTCTGTCCCGTAACTGCTCTCCTCGCGATAAAAATACGCTCATGAAATATACGCAAGTATCCACGAACACAATTGCTATTAATAAATTCGTCATTCGATGAAAAATCGGTGCAAAAGAGAGAATATTTGCAGAAAATAATCGATATTCGTATGCGTATACAGGTGGTCATACAAATTTACGAACGTGTTCTATATAACAATGATCTGTAATCAATTTACAATCGACTTTTCCCTAACAAGAGTGTCGATGACTTTTCAGTTGTAATTAAAAAAAAAAATGGGCTAAATAGATTTCTTGAAGTTCTTATGTTAGATGAAATTTTATTTTGGTACTCTTACACATCGAGATATGGCAATAAACGATAAGAAAAAAAAAAAAAAATGCGGACGTAGAAGATGGATTCAAATCGCATATTCATTAATGGGAAAAAATCTCGTATTCTTCCCACAATTAATTAAAGAATCTTACGACTACATAATTTATATATAGGTTCAATAAAAGAAAATAATACATAAAATTTTTATATAAAGCACATGTGTGTCGGTCGCGTAATAACAAATATTCCGGATTCATACAACGAGGTATATCCATCTCCAACAGAGAACCGTATAATTTGAAGTCCGTTAACCAAATCATGAAATCAAACAACTGCACAGGTGTGTTATCCATTTCACTTTACTACTTTCCTGTTACTTGACGAGGCGCAGAGAAAAAAAAAAACGGCTGAGCGCATATTTTTTTTAGACTCTTGCATCGTGCGTTCGGAAATAAATCGCGATAATTTGTCGTTCACATCGTTCACAAGACGGTACGCTTGGTCCACCGCACCGCGCGGAATCCTAGTTAATTAATGAATAATATAATTAGGCGGGATTCCCATGGTTTCCCTTTTGTGAGACTCAGCTGTGAAGAGGCAGAAGGAGCGCAAGTAACCGGCGAATTCACGACGATTCATTGCAACTGCAAGAGAATCGAGTATGTCGGCTACGAGCGCGGCGCGATTGAAATAATAGCTCGTGAGAAATTTAGAATCATGTCAGCTGAGAACGTGTAATCATGATGTAATTCTCAAGTGTGTTACCCTGTATGAATGGCAGTTATTATATACATATGTCTATTTAGAACACCCAAAATTGGCCAAATGGTGTTTCCGTTTGTTACTTTATTTTATTATGTTGTTTTCTTATAAAATAATAAAACTGTTAAAATTCGGCAAATATATATCGAAAATATAAATCTCAATATTTGAAAGCTATAAATCGATTTTCTTTCCCGAACGAATTATTCGATGACAAATAATCACTAATAATAGTAATTCAATTACATCTGCTAATTCGTATTATTATTTGTCATCTTCTTTGCATATAGCTTTTCTTTAAATCAAAGATTTCTAAATTAGTGATTGAATTATTTTCGTCGAACATTAACGATAATTATTTAAAAAGAAATTAATAAACTGATTAAATAACAACCGATAAAATCTTGTTCATGTAAAGATGTATTACTTGTTAATGATTTGTAATAATAGTTATTTGATAGTCATATGTAACAATCAGTTCTTACATTGGAATTTTCTTTGTCAATAGATCAATCACATGCATATCAACGGAGATATATTTTCTTAACAAACACAGTCTTGTATGATCCTATATATATAAACCATATATTCCATATCGTAAACGTAAAATTTTTATAGACACATAATTCAAGTGTTATAATAAAATGTATTACTTACTATTATTTTAAAGTTTTTAATATGCTCTATTGTATGTGGTAAATAATGAAACATAGAAGAAACTTTTACATATATATAAAAAAAAACAGTACAGTGTTAAATCTTACAATATAGCCACAGTTTAATAATATATTTTTTTTCAAAGATTATTAATTTTTATGAAAAAGATGTATAATTGAATAATGTTAAATATGTATCAATAATTTAATATTAAAATCTGTTTCATGTACAAATCAAATTTTATTCTCGAGATAAAACAAGTTTTTTTTTTATTTTATACAATAAGTTTTTTTTTTTTAATTTTATACGGTATAGGATGCAAGTTCATACATATATGTAGAGTTACAGAATTGCAAAATAATTTTCAAAAACTTTTTTTTTAATATGTCACGCATGAAATTACATTCTTCCTTCAATTACATGATATTAGAACATCCAAATATTCTTACAATGAATATCACTTTTAAACGAAGCGAAAGCTTCGAAGACATCAAAAACTAATTTAGATGTCATTCGCATCGCGCTATCTAAGATCTCAAAGATAAATAAATAACAAAAAGGATAAGAATTCTCGATGGAGTAACCGTATAAATTCCTTTCGCCGATCTCTCTCACCTGATAGCCGATCCGATGAAATGATCTATTCAATGAGGAATCCGCTGAATCATTCTCATCTTGATTTCCCTTCCCGGAGATCAATCCTTATTTCCTTTTCTTCCAAAGGACACAGTGCAGGAACGATGTCGCGCGAATATCCGCTAATGTATGACTTTTTTTTCGGAACGTACACGAACTCGTCAGAATCGAACACGGCGGCGAACACGACTGATCCTACTCGGTCGAGCAATCACGAAGAACTAAACGCATCGCTCGCTGGTCGGCTGGTCAGTCAACGCTTCCTCTTTCGTCGCTGCTACGAGTGAAACCGTGAGAAGCGCCAGCTGACGCCCTCTGTCGAGTTTTCCTCACACCTGCTCGCAAAATATTAAAAATTTTCTGATCGGTATAAATGTTCTCTGAATAACTGTAATACCTGCTGGATTATCTCTCAATCGGTACTCAGAGAATATATATGTAAAATGTTGTTTTTTTTATTTACAAAAGAGATATATATAAAAGCTGATGTGTAATAATGTCGTACAATTAAGAGAGAGAGAGAGAGATGGCATTAAGTTCTGAATATATTTGATAAGCACGCATATAGATGAAAAAAATAAGCTTTTTACGAAACACTTTTGGATTTATAGTTTTTATTGTGAGCGCACGTTCGATGATAATTATAATGTTAATTGAAGCTGAATCCATTAATCTATAATGAGGAAATATAGTAAAATTCTTAATTAAATAGAATTTAAAATTCGCTGATGCGTCGCCAAAATTTATTTGTTATTGGAATCGTGCTCTGACTTCGCGCTTACATATATCTATATTTTGAATTTAATTTTATCGAGTGACGAATAATTCTGACCTTACTCTCTTCCTCTTCCTCGATGAATCACTGGGAAAATTTGCGGGACAGTTTCTGGAGCAAATAAACAAATTCGTTTTAAACTTGCAACCGGCAGTTATGCACTGTATCAACTTTCAAGCGCAAAAGATGCGGTAACGAGTTTGCACGCGATATCCAATAATCTCCCGTATATATCTAGAAAAGCAGGAGACTGATTGGTCCGCATTATATTCCCTAGCGTCGTCGCAGAAGCGTAAACTTTCGGTACATTTTTTTGCCGATCAAGACACTTTCGCGACTCCTGGCAACACTGCTCACACTGCTCCACTTTGCTGATTCGCTCTTGTCGCAGCGACACGCACGTATGTACATACATACATATAATTATATTCGTTCTGTATCTCATTTCGCGTGACACGTACTAGTAGTGAGATTCAAACCAATGTTTCGAATTTATCCCGAATTCGCGCGACTTTACAATACACTGACAAACCTCTCGCGGACGTATCGGTCGCTCTGTGTGAGTAGATTATAACGTGACGCGATCAACACGCATATATGCGAGTATAGAAGCTTGTGGCGAATTTCAACGGAATAATAACGCATAAATACGCATAAGCGTTTTCCTGTCGTGTTCTTCCTGCTCAAAGTGTCGCGCGTCACGAGCCGCGCCGAGTCGTCCACCACGAGTCGTAATCGCGAGAGCCGGACGAGATAGAGGCGCATTGGCCATCTTGGAAGACATGTCGCTTTGGAATAAACGTCAACGGCACGGAGTGTTTACCGTATACACATCATAAATGTTGGCGGCAACTCGTTGTAATAATAACAACGTTTGCGGTTGATTGCCGAACGGCGACGGCGACGGCGACGACGACGACGACGACGACGACGACGACGACGACGACGACGTCGACGACGACGAGGAGCATCACGTCGCATCACGGCGGTGGTGACACGGTGGCGTATCTGGCGACACGCGGACGTACTTCCAAGCGGCCCGTCCTAGTACCTGCATCACACGATGAATCGCGGTGACGGGCTGGTGCAGCGACGACGCGTGGTCAACAGCAGCAGCGGCGGGAGCGCCGGTGGTGGTGGCAGCGGACTCGGCCAGGACAGCGGAAACACGGACCTCATCGGTCACAACGACAAACTGTCCGGTCAGAGCCCGGACTCAGATTACTCGTCCCAAAAGGATCTCAATTGCAATCCCACTGTCGACGAGGACTCGGACAAGGAGACGCGTCTGACCCTTATGGAGGAGGTTCTGCTGCTGGGTCTGAAGGACAAAGAGGTTCATTAACGTTTTAGAGATTTCTCTTATGCGTTCTATGCGGTGGATCGTTGACCGCTACATATCCTTCCTTTCATAGGGATACACTTCCTTCTGGAATGATTGCATAAGTTCTGGATTGAGAGGATGTATCTTGGCGGAACTTGGCTTTCGAGGTAGAGTGGAATTGGAGAAAGCTGGTATGCGTAAGAAGAGTTTATTAGCGAGAAAACTTCTCTTGAAAAATGATGCACCTACGGGAGATGTATTGTTAGACGAGGCCCTGAAACACTTGAGAGACACAGATCCACCTGAGACTGTGCCAAGCTGGATAGAATATCTTAGCGGTCAGTTTTTTTATTTATATACATATATATAAACACGCAAGATGTTTGTCTTGAAATATCTTGTATGTTGTTACAGGAGAAACATGGAATCCTTTAAAATTAAGATATCAATTGAAAAACGTCAGAGAACGATTAGCGAAAAATCTTGTTGAAAAAGGTGTCTTAACTACAGAGAAACAGAATTTCTTACTGTTTGATATGACAACTCATCCTCTTACCGATAATCTTGCCAAAAGTCGTCTCGTAAAAAAGGTAAATTATCCATTTTTCTATAAAATATTATATTCTGATTATACTATCTATACATACATAGTATGTTTTTGAAATTAATCGCTAAGCTAAACATATTTATTTCAAGGATAAAAAATAGCTTGTACAATCATAGATTTCTAAATTTATTTTGCATAAACGATGTATGTTTTACATCAAGTGCTCACAGATTAAAATATACACACTGATAGAAAATTTATATTGCTTATTTATTGCTATATATTATAGCATCAAACTGAACTTATTGGATCACAAGTACTATTATTGTTTATCACTAACAAGAGGCTTGCTAGACATTCCTGCAGAATTTTTTTATAGATAAACAAATGTTTCAAAAGGACAAGTTTTTTATTCATGATTTGTGTTTTATCTGATTTTTCTTCATCTGCGAGTTAAATAGTTTTACTTATATTTTTTAAAAGTTGGCAAATACATGGCTACTCCATTTTATTTCTTAAACTAAAGAAGATAGACCATGTGTGACATAAATTTATTATTTTGCATTGAATGCATTGTGTGAATACACTGGTGGACTCATAAGCTATACATACACATATTAAAGAAAAGGAGGACAACTATTTTTTTTTAAATAGAAATAGAGAAATGTGTCGATATAATATAATTTGTAATGCCTTTCAAAATTAATAGAAAATATTCTATTATATAATGTTTGATTTAATAGAATTTATACAAGAATTTTGAAAGTTATACAAAGTTATACAAGAACGAGAAAGTTTTATGGGTTTGAAATTTTATATACTAGATATAGCCTTCCCTCAACACACGTATCTTTTGCGCACAATTCTAACTTGTGACTATTTTTAATATTATTAATCTCTAGCATTTATTAATATCATGTTAAGAGATATGTAAACTTTAATTAATTGTTTATTATAACGTTATTAATTCGTGAATCCATTATTAAGAATTATTTATGTTAGTTTTTCATACATTAAATATTTTGATTTTATAATACACACACACACACACAATGTATTAACATTTATTTGCTAATATGGCATGGAAAACTGATTGCAAATTATAAAATTATAAAAGTAATCTTTGCTGGACAAAATTTCGAATCTAAAATTCATATTATTTGTTAAATTTTTTTGCATTAATTTTATTGAAAAATGCTATCATTTTCATTACACAATAATATGCTCGCATTAATTATTAATAAAATATAAAGTTGTCTCTTCAATACCGTTAGTTTTTTTATGAGCTACTATTTTTTTTATGATGACAATAAAGTTTACTTTCAACAATTAAATTTGACCTTTATTAGTTTATTTTTACAGTTATCTTTTAAGAAATAAAAGGAGGACACCTTCTGTTATAAATATTTTTATTAAATTATATTATAATCTCTATATACATAGAAAGTAATATCTTATCTTTATATATGTGCTTTATTACCTACATTGATTAGAAGCTATATGGAAATGAAAAGATAACACAAATTAAATTCTACGTATATAGTGATATAGTTGTATATATATAGCATTATGTTATCTTTTCTATGTAATAATTATTACTAATTTAATATATAAATAACGGGATAATATATTTTTCAAGGATAATTTGATATATAAATAAATTGTTTATTAAAACAGAATTTTATAAATTATTTACTAAAACAGAAAAAAAAAAGAAAAGTGATCCCTTATGTACAAAAGTTTTCCATCTGCAATTCAAATTTGATTATGTAACAACATTAAATATTCTTATTTTCTAGTTAATTACTGAAAATATATGTGAAAAATTCTTAGCATTAAACATAAAATTATACAAATAAAAAAAAACATAATAAAAGATGAAAATTAGTTTTATATTTTGCAAGAAAGGATATTGATAGGAATTGCGTGTTACATAATTTATGAATAGCATGCGTATGTTGCCTTTTTGTCTTCTAGATCCAAGAGGCTGTGTTAGGTCGTTGGGTGAATGATGCCGCTCGTATGGATAGACGAACGTTAGCATTAGTTATTTTAGCTCATGCAGCTGATGTATTAGAAAATGCATTTGCGCCATTGTCGGACGATGATTACGAAGTAGCGATGCGAAGAGTACGGACGTTATTAGACCTCGATTTTGAAGCGGAAGCCACTAAACGTAATGCGAATCCAGTACTTTGGGCTGTATTTGCTGCATTCACTAAGTAACATTTATCTCGTAAATTATATGAAATAAATATCGAATATTAGTGTGAATAATACGATTACAAATTTTGCATGTCTTTTAGTTGTAATACAAAAAAAAAAAAGAATCATTCAGACCAAATTATCTGTATTAAAACTACATAGAACTACTCTTTTTAGGAGATTACAGTCATTTCCATTTATTGTTATTTAATACATTTGATATAGCTGAATAACAAATGTTCGTATTTAAATATTATGGAGTAACAAGTCCAAAAGTATGAATGTATGTTTTATGCTCGATAGTGCTATTTCCATTCGAAGAGAAACGGTTACATTGTGCTGAATTTTATTCTATGCTTTTTGCTTAGTGTCCATCGTGTTTACGAGTCCATTTGTAAACACAATATGAGACGCGGGACACTATGCGGGGTGCCTCAAAATGGATGCTAGGTGGTAGTATGTTGAAGGAATTTGGATATATAATAATTGAAATATGTTGTTAGCCATAATTGAAATATATGAATATGTACATATATCTTTTTAAATTCTATTTTTTAATATACATGTGCCTCTTTGTTTATACATAGTATATATGATTTTGTGTTATATCTGCGCGCGCACGAATTATTTTTGATTGAATATATTTTAAGCTTATATATAATTAATCTCACATTGATCTATACTTTAATTTTTTCAGAAACGGTTTTTAGATATTAACCATTGAAAAAATTTTTAGAATTATCAACTACTTTTTTTTTATTCATTACATGGATAAAACTTGTGGAGATAAGATTTTACATATGGCAGACCTCTGGTGTGACATTAGATTGTCACATTTTTCTGATAATCATTTAAATGTTATAAATTCTATAAAAAAAAATTCTCTTTACGCTCTTACTATCTTTACAGCTTAATATATTCATAAATAGTTAAATTGAATTTATTCACACATTTTTTTATGTTATTATATATGAATTCTTATTGTACTTAATTTTAAAATCTAAAAAAAAAAACTCTTTACGCTCTTTCTACTTCTATATAAATGTTCACTTCATACAGATCATTATCTACAATGTCCTTTGATATGTAAAAAGATTGTATTAATATAGTATTATTGTGGAGGAGTAATGTATCCAGATTTAAATACAAAAAGATATTGAATTATTATTTGTCATTGATACATTTTATGTTACTGGAAATTTTTTAAATAAATGATTATTTCATTACATAATCTATCAATTGAATATAAGAAATTCTCTTTGGATAATAAAAATTGATTAGCATTCCATTTATAAGATAAATGGGATGTTCCTCAGGTTACTCACAGAAAGAGACAAAATACCTCATTTCTAAAATATATAAATTTTTTCACGTTTTTTAATATTTTTAAAAGTAAAGTTTTATCTAAATTATTTTTTTCATATTCGGTATGTGTGTACATATGTGTGGGAATATTAAAAAATATGGCGGAAAATATCACGTGTCAAGAGTACTTCAAGGGACGTTGAATCATTCTATACTTGTTTTTAAATATAGTTTTGTAAATAATTTAACACTGTGAAAGTAATATCTCATGAAAGAGAGTTTATCGATAAAATCATCTGTTTCAGCAGAGATCCATTAGATTAGAGGTGGATATAAACTACTATTGGGTAGGGTTTAATGGATGGAATATATTGTAAGAGCAGAGCACATATATAAAAGATATATGTAAGAGATATGTAAGAGACTTGTAGTTACCTGTATGACAAAAGTAGCTCTAATATAAATTCAAATACTTCATATATTTACTCTCACTTGTTTTCTGTTACTAATATTGTATAGATACATATATGTGATGTATATAAGTAATAAAAATGCAAGAGGCATTTGAAGAGTAAATGCTATTTGGTCGGGAGTACCCGACAAAAATTAATTTTTCTGCCAAATCTTTATTCCTTTACGCGCGAGAACAAGTGATAGTCGTGCTTAGAGTCAGTATAGTCAGAATTAATTTTTAATTAATTCTTTTTGAAATATTCCTTTTTTATATTTCGATTTAATTTCGGCATTTACTTTCTGAATGCCTCTTGTATAATGCATATTGGATTAACATGAATGGGAGGGGGTTAGATTATAATAATATATGAAAAAATATCAAATTTTTAACATTTTTAAGAATTATATAATACATCTTTTGTAATAGCGCCTATTTTATTTTTGATTTGTAGTTTGCATATCATCCAAAATCCAGTTTATATTGCTATTCAATTATAATGATATTATAATAATGATTACTTTGTCATTTTCTTATATAAAATATAAAAAAATGATAAAAATATAAAAAAGCAATACAAAAATATATGTATACACACCTTACCTGTTTAAATATTTTTTATAAATGTTATAGAGATTTTGTGCGTTACACACTTAATATTATCAAAAGAATATTGTTTCAACTAGTAAGTTTGCTAACATAAGCAAACATGTGCCAGTACAGATTATGTTTACTGGAAATATAAGTGCTATCTTTTCTTTTTCTATTATTATAATAATTATATAATTATTGTTACTAAAACTTTTCTTTTCTGTCATGATATTTTGACGTGAAAAATCAAATATGGTAAGATAAGTTCTGCTTAATTGGAGCAGAATTATATAATGTTTTATATACAATAATGCAATAAAATAAATATTTGCATCTGATATGATGTGTAGATCTATTGAAAATAGATGTAGATCTCTTTCAAAATCTATCAGTTATAATTGCATATGTTACTGTTTACAATTGCAGTTTTTTAATGAGGGATATAGTTTTGTATTTGAATATTTATTACAGAAATTTAAGAATCAAAAAGTTTTTAACATAACAAGTCTTTGGCACAAATGTCTAATTACTGTTTAAGAAATTAGTCCTATTAATCGTACTATTATATGGACGTAAATGTGAATGTGCTTGATAACGAGAACAAAGTGCAACTATTTATCTCTTACATTTTGCAGTTAAAATTTCTTTTTATTTAAAATTTGATATATATATATATTGCACTTAAAACGTGTATATATACAAAATCGATCGAGTTCTATTAATATCAAATTATTTAAACCAAAACACATTTAATTTTATATATATTTGAATATTTTTGTAAATATGGTATATATATATCTGTATATTTAGACTTACTCTATAATTTTATGTGCACATACGTATGTAGTATACCGCCGATTAAAGTTCAATAAACAAGAAATAAGGAGCACTTATTATTTTCTATTAAATCTTTTTTTTTTTACCTTATATGTGTGCAGTACAGAGAAATAGAAAAGTGATTTTATCATCAATAATAATACAACGTAATATTGATCAGTATTTTAAGTTGTATAACAATTGTTGTATAAAGATGTATCACACTTTATTAAATAAAACAATCAACATTAGGATAGAGAGAAAGATGTAGTTCAGGAGTCATGACTATGAAGCAATTCTGTAAAATAATATTGTCTAATCGTAATGAGGATGAGACAATAAATCTCTTCACTTTATAATTTCACGATCACTTTTAACTCACTATACTAAATGTGTATGTAGAAATATACACATAGATCATCATTATTATCATTTACTGGCAAATTATAAACATTAAAATTATTTTTCTATTTTTTTTCCCCAACATTATAAATCAGTAATATTTTCTTTGACCACAATTAGGGAAATTTGATTAATATAAGATAATGAAGTATGTATATATTAGCAAATAGCTCAGTCGACAAAATATGAAATTTTAGTGTAAGATATTTATAAGAAAAAATACTAGAAAAATTAATTATAGATATAGAGTTTATTTATGTACATATAGAAATTTATACAAGTTATAATAAGATCATAAAATTAATGTGGCACAAAATTACATAAAAATATAGATATATTATAATATAAATACAAAAATTGTTTGGATATCAAATACTTTATCCTTTGCATATGTACATAACCCTTATTTTTTTATTATTTGTTGTATAACACAATATAAATTAGGCATTGATTGTATAATTCGAATTTTATTATATTTCCATTAAAAAAAAAAAAAAAGATCTAAGATTCTTCAGGAACTTCTAAACTAGCGATTTGAATAAGACCATATTCTCCAGTTATCATCCAATTTTTATCTTTTTCGAATAACGATTCAGCCATACCTTGTGATAATCCAACACAAATGTCAGATTTTATAGTACGTAAGCTCAAAATATTTGTGGGTCGGAAATCTCCCAATGCAGTTGCAAAACTTATGTTATATTCAAAGTTGATGTCACTTAAGAGTTTTCTATAATTTAAGTCACCCTTAAATATTATTAATTTAGAATTAGAAAATAGAGCATATAACTTTTTGTCTTTTTCTTTCATTTGTCTAAAATCGTTCGGTCCTGTCCAATAGGGCTCCTTCTGTTTAATAGAAATAATTTAAATTATATTTAATGAAGGAAATCTCTTAAATAATAACTGAATGATATTGGAAGATAAAAATTAAGTATACCTTAATACACCAAATTTCACGATCCAAAAGATTCCTGAACATTTTACCCAGTAGTTTCATATTTGGATAATGATCGAGACTATTCAAGTGATCTAATGTCCAGTGGAAATCTTGAATCGTTGTGTCACTCACGTACCACGGATATGCTTTTACATGAAATATTATCTTAGTTGCAGGTGCAATAGTAATAAAAAATGCTGCTAAACACAAGTCACTGAAGAGTTCATATCCTGCATTATCAAGCACTATATGAATATTATCAAGACTTTCATCTGTTTTTTTTTTTACAATATTCCATGCAAGTTCCCAATTGTTTATTAATATATTTTCATCCAAAAAATCTATTATATTCAATGGATTATCAGTATGTTTTTGAAGAGATCCTGCACTTGCAGATAGATCATATCTGGAAATATAAAAATATATTATTGTTTGTAATGTGTATTTTAGAAGAAGTAAATATAAAAATGTTACTACCTGTTACCCCATAAGCTCAATTTCAATAATTTCGAAAAATCATTCTTCGAGCTTTCCTCATTGTATTCCTTATTACATACTATGTCACTTACATATGAGGCAAGAATATTCATAGAATCAATGGAGTTAATAAAAGCAGCTTGTTTTATGTATTCAAATGGGTCGTAACTTTGCATGCTACTCCTAGTTTTGTAAAAAGATATTTTAGCTTGCTCTATATGAATTTATGCCATACATGGTATATCAAAGCTTACGTTAAACCAATTTCTTGAGCTAATACACGGTACATATACGTTTCACAGTATAACCATGTCGTATTGAACCATGTAGGTGTTTCACCTTCTGTATGTGTCTTGTTTTCCAAATATGTATTCCATTCCTCTGCATCATTATTAATTGCTTTGGTATTTAAACGCATGGGTTTTAAAGTCTTATTAGTAACTATTTCATTTTTTAGTTGACCTATAAATCTTATGATATCTTTGATATCATTTGCCGCATCCTGTAATAATTAATATTGTTTATATATTGTGTGCTAACAATGCTATATTGCCTGGATATGATTACCTGGCCATAAGCATGTACAATTTCGTTTTTTTTTTGACAAATTGTATCAATGATTTTTGTCAAAATCACTGGCATTCTGTCTTTGAGTGATACATAAGCATAACTTCTGCAACACAAAGAAAAGATATTATTTGCACATCTTTCTGTTTCAAAGGTCAGCAAATCTTGATAACAGCAGCAAACAAAAAATCATAGATAAAAATAATGAAGCACAATCTTCAGGCATTACCGTGTATATACTCCAGACAGTGGTACATCAAAAGGAGTGGATATGTCTTGCGAATCTGGGATTCTAGAATTTATTTCAATCATTGTATATTTTGATGAAGTTCGAGCAGACAGCAAGACCTATATAAAGCGATAAAAAATTATAATAAGTAGATATCTGTAAACGGTTTCAAATATTTTTTTAGATTTATCACGTTATTTTGTATCGCATATAGCTTCGTACTTCATGCATTTAAAACGAAACAAAAAATATGTCACGAAATTCGTTTTTTCTATGTATAGTGTGTCATTCTGTGTTTTTTTTTTATTTTTTGGAACTTTAAACAAATATATTTCGCGCTTTAAAGAGAAGAGGTTACGTAAGTGTACAAGCGCACAAACCGTAAGAATTGCCGAAAATAAATTACAGCTGTTCTTTGTCATTGTAACTTATCGAAGATGATGTTGCGCGTGATTCTTACCCTCTTATATTCTATCCCTGTCAGACGATTCTGAAGAATTATCTACGAACGTAAAAAATACTGTTCAAAGTAGAATAGTCATCTACGTAGCAGACTACACACTCTCCATCTTTACATTAAAAATAATATGCGATGCACATGCGCACGCGCATGCGTACTCGCAGCATAGGCGCATAGGCATGCACATGCGCAATCACTCGTTCTTTCGGTATTCTCTCAAGTGGTCGTTAAGTATGCGTGCGTATATAAGAATTATAATAGTTATTATTATTATAACTAAAGATGTGTATTTGAATAGAGGCATAATATTAAAGTGTGGAAGAGGAAAAGGAGGAAGCAGAGATAAGCAGAGGGTAATGGTCATTTATCTCTAATTCCTTTTATCGTTTGCAATTAACTTTGCGCGATTTCGCAATGGCAGTAGCGTCTGTTACTTTCCCGCCAAAGTTTTCTTGCAAAGAAATTTCATTAGCGCAGAAAGTTTTCTCGACTGCGGCCTTTACGTCTCGAATCGAGTATATTGTCTAACAATGTTACATTTTTGTGTGTCTCCTGTAGATCGAGGCGAATAACGAGATAGAAAATGGATAACGAAATGGATGCACACTAATATCTGTCCACGGATATGCGTGCACACATATGCAGAGCTCTGCATGAGATGAGATCGCCGCAATATCGGTGAGTTTAATTCTATAAATGAGAAAAAATAAGATTTTCTCTGATTGTGAAGAGCTTATTTTCGAGCTTTATTTATATATTTTGCAGAAAACTTATTAGATTTGCGTTATTAACATCACAAAGCCGCGAAAATTTATATCTCCGTTTTTTAAAAATCCTAGCCTTTAAAAGCGCATACTTTACTTTTGTAAATAACGGTTTGCAAAAGCCTGATCAATATCAAAAAACTTTAATAACTTTAAATTGAATACTATGTGTGAAAAAGATAGTTTTATAAATAATTATTTAGAAAACTAAAAATATTAATCGAGATAAGGATACTGAAAATATAATAAAAGAAAATATATTTTAGAGAGATTTTAAAGATTATTCTTATTGCATCCAAAAATTATTATTTAAAAATGTGCTCTTTAATTTTGTCGTATTTCAAAATGTCTTTATATCGAAATATTATTGTGATATATTATAATTATATTTGTGAAAATTTTTGATGAATGTTTCCACAATATAAAAGCTTTTTTTTTTTTTAATTCTGCTTTTGGGGAGAGGGGGAGTATCAACAGATACCGGGTGTATACTGATAAATGAATTAATGAACTCTGCGAAAAAGTTTTGCTCGCGTTATAGCCAACAGCTGTAAATTCAAGTGTTCTCTCTCTTTCTATCAAACTTGAATTTACATAATGATCGTTGCTAAGGTACATTAGCTTAAGGAGGGTGCGAGTTCCGACGAAAGTTAGTCTCAACGCGTTATAGATACCCAGAGGAGAGAGAGAAGATTCGAATAAAACGGTCAAATTGTTTCGTCTCTCGCTTTGTGCACTTTTTGCCGGCTTCTGAAATGGGAAACTCTAGCGATAATTCAACTACAGCTGCACAGCGCTTTAATAAACTTAGATAGGGGAGACGTGCAAGGCAAAATTCACAATTGCGTATCTTAGACATTGTCGTACGAAAGAAAAATCGTGATGAAATATAGTCTTTATTAATCGCACTTTAACCGATGTTACGCACAACGTATTAATACAATACATTTGTATCGATTAGGCGCGGATAATATGTAAAAACAATTTCTCAGTAGTTATATGAACATCTTATTTGAATTTCTTTGATTTATTAATTTTTTTTTTTATTTATTTTATTTGCCAATTAATTTGATAATATAATTTTTTCCTCGCTTTACTTATAGATTGTCTGAAAAATATCCAGAATGATAAATATTGGCAGTAATGCTTGTCGATAAAAAAATTTAAAAATAAAAATGATAGAAAAATAAATGGTTTAGATTTATTACAATATAAAATTTGAGATTTCTTCACGATTTGTCTTAGATTATAACAAAAGAGGAACACTTCATTATAGATTTGAAAGACTTATAAAAAAAATATTTTTATATTTTTTTCTATTATAATTATTATAATTATTATTTTTTTTACTATATTTTTTATTATTAAATTATTAAAAATAGGCGAATATTTAAAAATTAATTGCTATTGTGTGCAAATGTTGTCTTGAGCCCTTAACTTTATTAATGTTACCACTATTTTTGCGCAAATTTTATTAAAAACGCTGTCCTTGCGGTAGGAGCTGTTTAAATTATTATTTTCGAATTATTTTTGTCTGGACTTGTGATGACTTCTGTTAATCTCGACTAATATCCGATCATTAAACGTCATAGTCACAATGCATACAGGCAAGATAATATCGCCGCTCTATGCGTTCTATTCCTTCGAAATGAAATCTGTGCAAGCGGATTCGCCGGCCTCCGCACCCCTCCATCAGATCCTATAGCCTGATCCTCCCATCCACGAGAGATCTGGGAGCAATGTTGCTAATTACTACATACCACCGAATGCGGCATAACCCGCGACCCATGAATTCCACCGCGCTGTAGCCGATGGTGTACAGTCGCAAGAGTCAGTTTTCATCCGTGTAATTTGTGGAAATTGCGGTTTCCTATGAGCGCGAAGCGAACTGATAATGCACTACCAAACGTCAGCCAAATGTACAACACTTACATTTTCTGATATAATATTCATATGCACACATATATATAACATGTATACGAGATATTTATAAATACTGATTTTTTTTTAAGTTTTATAAATTTATTGGCACATTTTTTCGAATTATGGTATAAAAACAAAATATTAAAAAACTAATATGCAAGTAATATGTTTCTGCGTTTTCGTGTGTTAAGAAATGATTTTTGAAAAATGTATCCTGAATAGTATAACATAGTTGCATATTATTTATTAATTTGCGAATTAAGATATCACTCAATTCAATTTAATTCAATGATATCATAGTTTTATTGATGCAAGTGGAAAAAATTATGTTTTGAACTTTTTGATGTTTTTTACATGTACGAACGCGGATATTATTTATTTCCTATTTTGATTATTTCCTATTATTAATGATAACTGACATCATCATGATTTAATGAGTTTTTGTGCAAAATTCATTAACATGGTCGGGTCGTATGGGAAACATCATTATATATAGTACAAAGTCGTAAATACGAGGACCACATGGCTGGCTTAGTTCTTGAAATGAGAAAAACCTGCGATGAAAATGACGATACGCGAGCGGTAAAAAGTATTAATTGTTAAAATTAATAATATATAAAAAATAATATATTAATAAAATTAAAAATTAATAACGGATTAATCATAATTAATCCAGCGTTGCTAATACTCAGATTGGCTAATAACAGCATGATAAATATATCATATTATTAATATAATTATTTCTAAATCTTTTCGACTTTCAATTATTATCACGTAATGGCATATTGAATCATGAATATAGTATATAAAAAACTATTAATTAAAAGAATTTTCTTATGATTTATTGAAAAAACTTTTTAAATTATAACTATTTTATTTATAAAAATTTAGAGAAAGGACTCTCTCTCATACACACACACAAAAGAGAATTGATTGAGAATTTTTTGTAAGTTTATAACGAAATTAATTGGCATATGTGAGGTTTCGAGATATGTTAGAATCCCTATAGATATGTTAAATATTAACTAATCTCTTACACACACATATACATACACGTGCGCGCGCGGTTAAAAATTATAGAATTATGTAATAAAAACTTTCTATATTCTAATTCTTCAATTCTTCGGGATTTTTTTCTTTTCTAAAAATTTAATCTTCGTTATTTGGCGATAAGAATCAGTCGTCTACATTTTTACGGTGTTGTAACAATATTTCTTCAACTTGGTGGAAAGTTCTCAACAAATGCCATATTCTACGTCATACCAAAGGTATATTCCAAAGGGCATAATTTAAAGAAGTTTCTTGAGGTTGTCGCGAACTAGCGCGCGCAGCAGCCAAACGAAAACCCAGTTTGAATGTAAGAGTATGTAAATGATAGGAGCTGCTAGGTAGGAGAGAGTTCATTATAACCGGGTATAGTGCGACCACAAAATTGTTCGCGGAAACTTTTGTGAATGGCAGTTAATTATAATTAATTCCGTATTGTCTACTCGACAGCTCGTGCTAATTCCTTGCCACCGACGAATCGCACGCGAACGCAACCGCAGAGTTTGCACCCATTCGCGCAGACAAATTATTACGAATGTTCAATTAAATCGTGCATTTTCAAACTAACTTTCGCACGATCAATTTTTTTCGCCAAATTTTGCATTCCTCGGCCGTCGCATCACGCAGTGATCTTGAAGGGAGCTTGAGGAATGCTCCAGATATGTAATTTTTTCATTCTTTGCATTCAAAAATAAATTTATCGTTACTTATATAACTTTATTTTAGAAAAAGAGGAGGAAGAAAGGAAAAAGTGTAAAAATTGTGGTTATAATGAAGGACTGATCCTTTGTCAGCTAATTTCAGTAGATAATTGCATATTAAGTAGCGGAATCCTTGTAATCGAGACTTATCGAAAGCGCGTATCTTCTTTACTGTATTGCTTTCAAACTTTAAATTTTAAACTACTTACTACATACTTTGCGAAATTTTATACAAGATATCTTGGAGCTAGCGAATTATGTTTTCATCTATGGATTTTCAGCTAAATTCAGAGTCGACTTCTACTTTGACAGAATAAAAATGATGAGGATTTTAAGTTATCAAAAATGGATGATTTTATGAGAACTAAACTTCAAAGGAGTGCAAATAATGAATAAGACTTTATTTCTCATTTAATCAGACTTTACTTTAACTTTTGCGGATTTAAGTTTCGGACCTTAATTTGAAATTTCAAGCTTTAATTTATGGATTATATAAAAATATCAGAAAATTGACTATGGAATCTTTTTGAAAAATGTTCGTATCTTGCGTATGGTAAATTGACATATATTTTCATTAGTTATAAATTAACACAGTCGACGTTTGAGATATAGCATGATTTAACAGCCGTGTATCGGAAATTGAGCGATGATTAATTCAATCGCAGTATCGCATCGTAAAAGTACGATACAACTCGATTCAATG